AGTTTGCATTATTTTTAAATTTTGTAGATTTAATCTAACTTTATGTAAAAAAAGATTTCATTGTTTGGAACACCGTCTTGTTTATAAACTTGACCGTTTTTCATGACGAAGTCAATATTCCTCATTGCCTCAAACTTTTCAATTGGATTTTGGTCAACAGCAATCAAATCAGCAACCACATTTTTTCCAATCCAGCCAAACTTGTACCCTGATAAATCACCACCACAAGCTTTCCAACCATTTAAGGTTGCTGCAACCAAGACGTCAGGAACTGGGATCCCAGCTTGAACCATCAATTCCAATTCTCGTACACTTTCGCCATGAGGATATGTTCCAGTATCACCACCAGTAGCCAATTGAATACCGAGATCAAAAGCACGTTTTGTCTTGCGAAGAATTACATCAAGCTTTGAACCGAAAAACTGCTCACAAACTGCCAAAGTAGGAACCAACATGGTTCCATTCTTTTTTAGTGTTGAAAGACATTCTTCGTCAGCCCAATAAGCATGTTCAATTGTCAAAGCACCAGCATTAGATGCCATGATTGCACCTTCGATTGATCCACAATGAGCTGCCACAGGACAGTTCATCCGTCTAGCTTCCTCACAAAGAGCATTCATCTCTTCCTGAGTATAGAGTACCACTTCAGGGTTAGGGTTTTGTGGAGGATGTGCAACAGATCCAACATAAGGATGTTGCTGTACTGGTGGAAATCTCATTATCCGATTACGGTAATCGGCATAAAACTTGATGATGTCTGCTCCAGCTCCAATTCTTCTTCTGACCGCTGCTCTGATCTCTTCAACTCCATCACAGGCATCAAGAGTTGAGGGTAAATTCACACCACCCAAAGAGTTTTCGGTTCTTACAATGTACGAGGAATTAGAAGCCAAAACCTTGGTTGCAACAACAAACGAGGTCAGGAATAAGGTTTCTGTTGATTGCATCTCTTACATTAGCGTCGGCTTCCATCATTTCTTTCCGAACCCAAATCACGATAGGTGGATACACCAGTCCAGGAGGGCACGACGACAATGGTTTGTGGGATCTGATAATACGCTCCACAAAAGACTCGTTCTCTCTTTTGCTCA